ATATCACTATCATAAAAGAAAATATTTACAAAAGCCAGTATAAATTTATTTTGAAGCCAACTCCAAACTGATATTTTAAGTTTCACTCTTACCTCTTCAGACCTTTTTTTTTTTTATTTTTTAGTTAGTTAGTTGTGGTTACCATAAAAGGAGGCTCACTCTCACCATTTTACCTCACAACGATTACAGGGAGAAGGAAGACTAGTTCTCTTGGCTTTAGACCAGCCATGATCATCAGCAGAGCTGGCAGCTTTGGCAGGGAATACTTATCACTCAAAGTGAAATTATTATAATAGTAATAAGTAATAGACATGTTAAGAAGACTTTGGAGGTTGATAACAGGCATAGCCATGTGTCTGATAAGAGCATTTGCCTCTGCCAGTGGGGCCAGGGCCTCCATTTAATGATATGGGACACCTCCTGCGTACTACCATTTTGTGCCTGAGCCCACCTTATTACCAGACACAAACATTGCAAGGTGGCACACATACCTCAACTTATGCAAATACTGATCACCAGAAAGGCTGTATTTGCAATGATATTTGTTGGGTCTAGTGGCACTGGTTTATCTTAAAATGTTTGCTAACTATTTAGAATTAGTTAAAGTCTCCAAGAGACTAGGGGAGTTATGTTCAAAGAACACTAATTTGTCAGGTGGTCACTTATGAGCCAGATTTCCCTGGGAATAAACAAGATGGTTTGCACTTTTTCACAGCAGGGGACGCTGTCACAACTCTGACCTTTGTGATTATAACTATTTAACTGGGATGCCTTCAGACATAGAAATTAAAGACCCAAATGGACTGTTAGCAATGCACAGCGTTCTGAGCCTTTACATCCTGATGCGGAAAGATAAATGTTGGAAATGAGTTACAAATCTATTTTTGTTCATTTGAATAAGAATGATCAAGCATCCGAAGGCAATTTGATGCTATTCTAAATCAACAGGCCCATTTGGATTGTTACCTGAGGGTAGTACTGGTTGTCAGCTGCAGGTTTTGCATGTGTTGTCAGGCGATGTGGTAATGTAGCTGGTCCTCCATGAGATGTAACATTCCCAGCAGTGGACGGGCCACCTTCTCCTTGCGCTCGTGACAGTCTGTCCCGCAACTGCACAATATTCAGCTGGTGAAGAATAGAGAAATCAGAGCTTACTACCCTACAAACATGGGGCCAAAATGAGTACTTCTTATTCCTCCAACAGCAACATACTGCCTATCTGCATAAGTAATTTCAAAAATCTCTCACCTGGTTTGTGTTGTTGGGTAAAAATGCCATAGCAGCAGCAAGGCTGCCTTGAGCCGCCAGCAGGTTGGCATACTGACTCATCTTCTCAGCCAGCAAAACTCCAACATCTTGGGTGTCGGCAGACTGCATGATCTGCACTGCTTTGCGTAGGATAACCACTTTTTCTATAAGATCCTGATTACATGATGAAAAATAATATAAAAAATAAATAAATTAGTGCTTATGAGAACATGACCTTTTGTTATTGTACTAGCTGTACACAACATAACACTTGAACATAAAACTTGAACTTGTATACAAGTTCAAGTTTTTGCGGAACTGGAGCAAATAGCTAGCCCGATGACTGGTAGACAAGAGGAATGACACAGTTCAATCAGTTTTTAGATTCTCTTTTTAAATGTCACTGCAAACTGGCTCTCCACATACAAATAATTACAGCTAAAAAGATAAAATAGGTATGTAGTAAATGGCATCAACCACCTACCTGCAGTGAAAGAGGACTGGCGCCATCTTGGGCTCTGGTCCAGCAGGCGACCAATTTTTCTACATTTCCAGCACATATGTAGCACAGACAAGCTTGTGCCTGGAGAGAAACATCACCCTCTTTCTCAAGGCGGGAGCCCAAAAGATCTGCAGGAGAAACAGTAACAAAAACCAAAGAGAGCAATAAACTGACCATTTCTAATGAAGATATTTTTAGGGTTCAGCTGTTTGGGTTAATCTACTGCTGCTATTGTGTACTTTTTGGTGGAATTTCAGGAATATAAAATGAAATGCCATAGCACATAAGCAGCCTATGTACACCACTCAATACAAAGAATTGAAGGCACCACACAAAAGTAGAATCTAACAAACTGTAGGGATGCACCAATACCAGTATGAGTACTCGCCAAAACGCTCCGATACATACCCCCGATACTGGAGCTTCCGGTCAGAGAGAGATATCCTTTTAACGGCAGTGCAACAAGGGAACATGGAGCCAATCAGGATGCCGGGCAGTGGGTAATGACTCGCCGTCCGGCTTCCTGGTTGGCCGGCTTGATGCTCATTGGCTGCGAAGCCAGTTTCCCGGCAAATCAGCATGGAGCCGGCTTCCCTGGAAATCAAGAATCCGGATGGCAGGTAATATCAGGTGATATTACGTGCCGTCCGGCTTCCCGATTGGCCAGGAAGCCGGCTCCATGCTAGCAGGAGTACCGTTATCGGTACTGGCGAGTACTGAAAGATAACTATAGTGACTCGTACCCGATACCAAAAAAACAGTATCGGTGCATCCCTAACAAATTGTATTTATCACAAGGTTTAGTTATATATTGTTTATCAAACTAAAAGAGAAAAGCCAGAATGACACTGGGATTTTTTGGGTTATGACATCCAGGGATTACCAACAATCAAATATATATACAGGGCTTGAAAAATTCGGCGGTGTCTCACCAGTCAGTCAAAAATGTCACCAGTCAGCATAACCGGACTATAGTATACATAGAAAAAAATATTCATAAAAAATCAATGGAAACAATTTAAAAGCATATTTATGACCACCATAGCTGTAGCAGTCATAAATGTGATTTTTGTGGACAGAAATAATGTTTGCTCTTAAACTGTTGGACTTTTTAATGCCTCCATGCAAGGGTTAATAGTATTTTGGTTCGGAGTTCTTCTTTAAGGAGTGTCTCTATGCGCCTTATGTTCTAGATTAATGTCTAGCACACTAAACAGCATCAGCAAATTTTGCAGTCTGGTCTGAACAGCTTGGTTTACTGCTATGAAAACTTTAACAGCAGGATCTCACATTTAAACACACAGCTTGATGAGTCAGCTGTGAGAATGATTTAAAGAAAGGGCTCTTCTCCCCTATGCCTCTCCAAGCAGAGCAGGTGCCTTTTAGATTTTCAGTCTGCAGGAGCAGTCTAGAAGTGCAGAACCAGTGCTATGCTTTTTATTTAAACAACCCAGAATACACTGTACATGATGAAGCATGGAAAAACTCTGTATTAAATTGTTACTTGACAAAAAAGAATTTTATACAACATAAATAATGATATATTACTTTATAAATATAAAAAAAATATTTAACTAAAAGCCACTACAGTTTCCTTTTAAAATTACAGTTACACTTTCAAATTAAAGCGGAAGAACCTGAAGGAAAAAAAAAACAAGCTTTTAGCCACAATGTACTAGTATGCACAGCATATTAGCAAATTAGTGCCTACTTAACTGTTAAGGTGCCCATACACTGCTCGATTCTCGTACGAGAATCGCTGTAAATCCCGCGATCGTACGAGAATCGAACAGTGTGAACGAAGACGTGCGACCGTTTCTAATGTACGGTCGCACGTCTTTTGTCTAAGGAGCATGTTAGAAAACCAGCCGAGAATCGTACGATTTTCGGCTGGTTTGAACAGTGCTCAGGAGACAAATGCCGAACGGGCCGGTCTGCGCACGCGCACACTGCCCGTTCAGCATTGCGGTCATCGCCCTGAGGGGCGGGCTAGCGATGATCGAGAGTGCGATCTGCCTGTCCAAGATGGGCAGATCGTACGTTTTTTTAATCACTTTACAACCATCGCAACAACCAAGGTCTTGCGATGGTTGTACAGTGTATGGCCACCTTCAAATCAATCCCTTCCAGCGCTGTGCTCCTGTTTCACTGATGATTCCATCATCTCTCTGGTCTTTCTCCAGGTTTTAAGTCTTTGCCTGCTTTATTAGCCAGGCCTTGATAACGCAACTTTCTTCAATCCGACATGCCAAGCCTGTACACGGAGAAATAATTGCCGACAGGCAGCTAGATGCTTTTATGACAGAAGGAACCAGTCTCTTCTGTCATAGAAAGCCTTCTGATCATCATTTTTTCCCCCCAACTTCCACTTTAACAGTGATAAAACTTGTATGAACTGTCGTTAAAACTTCATACCGCATAAAGAGGCAAATTCTTCAGGTCTTGCATAGGTCAGCACTGCAGCCAAAGCCTCTCTCCAATTTTTGAGATCACATGACTGCACGATATCACTCCAGTTCTTAGTCACTACAGCAGTTATCAGCTAGGGAAATAGAAGTTAAAATGCTTTAGTATAAAAGTAATGACAGAACATATAACACTCAACTATAAAAGAGTACCAAGTAACTAATATTTTGGAGGAAGCACAAAAACATTCTGGTGAGGAATCAAATATGGGTTTAAAAAAATATACCTCTCTCTGGAAAATTTATAGCAAGTAAATGATGACAATGAGAGAAATCACTTTTGACTGTTTCGACTTTGGTAAACCGAAATCTGTTTGGTTGCCATGGATTACGGTTTTTCATTGCTACTTTTTTCATGCTAGTTTACTTCTGCATGTTCTTTTTATTATTTAATTACCTGCATTTGTTCCAGGGTGTAGTATGTTGCCATAGCATAGTTTATTATGCTTATTGTGTCTTCTTCCCAATTCTAGCGGGAAGAGGAGTGAAAGGTTTGCACTTGGATTAGTTCTGACAAAAGAGGCTCCTTGATACCCTGTGCATTGGTGTGGGAAGTGTTAAACATATGGCCTATCTCCTGTTTGGTTTGGAATGCGCTCCATTTGGGAACCACATGCTGGCAACAGAAGCATTGGGAGCAGTCATCTTAAATGAGACTGTTTGACTCATTACAGCTTGACAGGTCTGCTATGTACTTTGGTTTGCAAGTGCAGCTTGTTTTTGTGCAATGATGTTTCAGGCCTTGTTCACACCAAGCGCGGAGCAGGAGCAGATGCAGAGCAGTTGCAGACCGGATCAAAACTGCGTCCAATGTATTCCAATGGTATTTTTTGCTCCAGTTCACATTGCAGCGTGCAGTTCCAGAGCAGGTAAAAAAAACTGCAGCAGGCCCTATTTTACCTGCTCTGGAACGCATGCAAACGCATCAAAAACGCATGCAAACGCCCTGGAACACACTGAAAGCCCATTATAAACAAAAAAAAATATATATATATTTTTTTTTTTACCAAAAACAGCCCGGAACGCATCAAAAACGCGGCACAACCCACTGCACTGCGTGTGCAGAAACCTGCATTTGGTGTGAACAAGGCTTCAATGTTCTATGTCTTGATGCCCGACTCTATTGTGTTCTGGCAATAATGGCGAAGGATTTCACCTGTGATGAAATGCACTTGCTGCACAATAAATGCCAATGTATGAGAAAGAATGTGGATCAGAGAGATGGTAAAAGTCTGCAACTGGCTATTTGTACAGCTGCACTTTGGAAACTATACATGTATAATACATACCCTTGTTATTTTGCTTTGTGTCCTCGCAAAGTATTTCTTTTGTGTTCTAGCTAGCAGGTCCGGGCCACCAGCAATAGCTAGTATTATAGCATCTGCCATACGGTTATCGTGCAAGCAGAGATCGACGGCACTCTCAAAGTTACCAGTTAACAAAGCTTGAGTGATGAGTCCATCCACATCTAGAATTGCCATAAAATGTCTCAGTACAGGTGAAGACAACATTATCTGCTCATCTAGTTCACAATTACAAATCATCACAAATCTCATTCAAAGATCAGCAGCTCTAATTTCTCAGTACAGTTGCAGTGTCACCTACTGGTGATACTCATTATAGCTCCTGCAGTTAGATATACAGTAAGCTCTCCGTTATCCGGTATCTCAACTAACCAGAACCAAAACAAACATATTTCCCTGGAAACGATCGTGTGCCTATTTGTGTTATTTGCTTTTGATTACTGCATTTCAATATTAATATGAATTCAATACGGAAGTTTATGTTATGGTTTAGTTCGGGGTATGGCATTAGTTACACCTAGTTTTAACAGTAACTCTCAAGCAACCAGAAACTACATTTATCTGGATTCTACCAATCCCTGTGTATGCCGGATAATGGGGAGCTTACTGTAATTTTATAGGTATACCATTATGTCTACCAAAGAATGGAAAATACCTTAAGCACCCACTGCTGTTTAGAAGGAGACTACATCACACAAAGTTACTATACAAAGCTGTCAGTATAATCTGAGAGTTATATTTTCAAGAGGAATGCTACCCATGTGTTTGAAATAAGAACAAATCACCTTTAGAAATGACAATCTAACACATACTTATAGATAATTACAGGCGTGTTATTGCTTGCACACCTTATTTTTCTTTCCCTCCCCATTCTTCTCATACTGGCCATTTTTTACTAAGGGCAGATTAATATAATTCCCTTTATGTTCTGGTACATGTGACTAGGGCATGTGACCATGCACATCATGTCAGGGGAGAAAATGCCTTTCCCGAGATCTCGTGAGATTACAGATGAGATTTCCCAGCAATGTTCTGCTCATGTAGCCTTCCCAGGATGCAACGCTTGGGCACATTACATCACTAATGCCCAAGAGGACTAGAAAATGAAAAAACAATAATTGTGGGTAAATGAAAAATGTTTAACTAATGAATGTGTAAGACGATTCCATATCACAATGCAGAGCTGCATGCTGAGGTGATTTTTAGTGAAAGGGGGTAAAAGGTCCATGTTAATAGTAAAGCCCATTCATTCAAAAACTGTCCGTTTGAGAACATGAATGATAAAATTACCTCCGCTGACTGATATACTGAAGGTCTCACCAGAGGGAATGGTGTCTCCAATATCCGATTTACTCACACTGACATTCTAAGAGAACGGAAAAAGACAGAAACACATTGATACACTGCATGTAATTTTAAGGAATAAAGCGTTTAATACCCAAGATGGTGTACGGCAACATATAAAAGCAACTTGTCTATATTATTTATTAACAAACCACAATAATACAAAATGCTAGTTTGGCATTTGATGGTAATTTAAACGCGGCTTGTAAGCAGCACTAGGACAATACAGCTTGCAGGAAAGAGTAGCATTAAATAAAAACAGTACCTCCCCCAAGCTCAGCTCTTCAGTAGGTTCACTTCCTTCCTCATCACTCTCTACAGCCTGGTCAGAGTCTTTCTCAGCCTTTTATAGAATAGTGTTAAATAAATAGAAATAGTAAGGGAGGGTTAAAGAAATAGTTGAAATCAATTGAAAATCAATGGAGATATATATTTTTTAAATCATGGTGGTTTGCGGCCATTCTAAAGATGGATGTTCTACACGAGAGGTAGATCACCTTGGTACTCAAACTGTTGCGGAACCAGAAATCACATGAGGCATTGCAAGATTGACAGTCACAGGCATTACTCCCAGAGGCAAAGTCCGGTTGGGATTTGTAGTTTCACTATCTATATATTGCAGTATAAAACACAAAGCATCTGTATTCTAACAGTATAAAATAGAGTGATGGGTTGGAGTACAATTTATCAATAAATCAATTCATGTACTCTGTTCTCTGATATTCCAATATGTGTCATGCTTCTCACTCTCCCTATACAAGGTGTTAGACCAATAGACATCTATAGGGAAAGTATCCATTACCCAGGGTAACGTAGGACCAGCCTACAGTAGTCCAGAGTTCCCTAGGAATGGGACTACAGAAGATGAGGAAAGGCTGAGGGAATATTCTATGCTAGAAGTCAATCAGGCAGAGCTATGAAGATGCTGGTAAAGAAACATGTTTTTGTTGGTTTTTTTAGCATGTAAAAAAGGTAGATCAATCCACTTTTGGACCAGCTTCCACCATGAACTAATCTTAAATTACAGGTTTACTTGATTCTTTTTAGAAAAGAAAAAGTACAGTAAAGTATTAGGAGACAGTTAAGTAAACATATGGAGATTATTATACATTACACATGCCAATGTAACAGGGGGCATAATATGAAACCTTAGTGTTAGTAATCAGTAGGATTTGGTTAAGCTTATCCATTATAGGCGATACAGAATTTTTATTACGGTTTTTTTATGTAAAAAAAAAATACATTTGCAGTGTATATATTGATAAGCACATTCAAACATGATCACATGCAGCACAGCCAAGCAAATTTATTAAAACAGGTATTCTAAATGCAGTCTGGAAATGCAGTCTAAATGCAGTCTGTGCTCCAAGCATTTCTTATACCAAACCTGTGTGTGTGTATGTATGTATGTATTTATGTAAATTTACAGTATATGCCAATGACAGCAGTGAATAGTTCAATTGCATTTCTGTTGCTTACAATACAACTAAAATGATCATGAAAGATGAACAAGAAAGCTTTATTTTATGTGATGGGAGCCTATCTATTATATCATTTAAAACCATATTATCACTGAAAACATTTTTCTCATTGCTCGGACATTTATTTTAAAAAATGCAATAAATGAGCACAACTAGGGATGCACCGATACCGTTTTTTTGGTATCGAGTATTAGTACGGATATTTTTTCTTCGGTACTTTGCCGATACCGGTGCCCCAATTATCAGGAAGTTGCCCAGCTTCCTGATTGCCTGGGAAGCTGGTGTTCTATCGAGAGAACACTGGCATCACTTGCAGAGTCTGCCTGGCTTCCTGACCAAGCAGGAAGCCGAGCTGCGGGTCATGAGGTGCCGTCCAGCTTCCTGATGGGTCAGGAAGCCAGGCTGCCTAGCAACAAGTTAAGCCAGCTCCCTAGCCAATCAGGAAAACGGGCAGCACGTCATGACCGGCATCCCTTATTGGCTAGGAAGCCGGCGTCACTTGTTGCTAGGCAGCCTGGCCTCCTAACCAATCAGGAAGCTGGGAGGTAGGTCATAACCCACCGCCCGGCTTCCTGATTGGAAAGGAATCTGGCTCCATGCTCCCTCGGCACTGCCAGTCAGAGGGAGATCTCCCTCTGACCAGAAGTTGTGGTATCGGAGGTAAGTTTCAGAGCATTTGGGCGAGTACTCGCCTAAATACTCTGTATGGGCACCGATACTAGTATCGATATTGGTGCATCCCCCTAAGCACAACCACTTTTAAATGGTTATGGGCCACAGCTAGTGCACTGGTTTGGGCAGCCATTTTGCAGTTTGGGGTGAATATTAGCAATTTCTACATTGGGGAGATTTTTCTTTATTTTCATTACAGAAGTGTAAGGGGAAATAACCCAACATTAAACTCATAGGCAATAGCAATACAACAAGTATTATAAACCTTACACACTTTCTCACAAAAAGTGTTTTTATTCATTTGTCCCTGTTGGGGAGATTTCCATTCAATTCCTGGTCCAATGACTACATGTCACCTTGATGGGAAACCTTCCCAACTGTACTAAAAACATGACAGAGTAGAACCTCCATCAGGTTTTTAGCACAGTTGAACAGGTTTCCCGTCAAGGTGGCATGTAGTTATTGGGCCACACCATTGCGGACTTATTCTTGAAGTATAAGTAAAACTTATCCTTCATTCACTACTCTGTAAGTCACTGAACTAGATCAAGCATTGTCCTTGGTAATTTTGCACCTCCAACAAAATGTTTGCAAGGGATGCGCCTATATTTCTATCCTGGCTGATTTAGAAAAGTACAGATCGTAATTATAACATAAAATGTATTAGATTAAGATCAACATACACCTAAAAGAATAAAGCTGGCCATAAACAGAGCAAATTTCTTCCAGTTCTAGATTAACCAGTCATAATGTGCTCCATGGTTGAACCAGTTAGTAGAACATCCATCGCTGTCAGAATACAAAAGCCCGGCAGAGGGGATTCCCCCATCCATGCTAACCGATAGAGGAATCGTTTAGATTGTTTTTTCCATTCAGCTCACAGACTAATTGGAAAAAAAACTACTAGTATATGCTCAGCTTAAGGCTGGATTTTTTACTATGTTCCTACAGTGCCTAAAATTTTCAACCAACTTGCTTTCATACAGTAAAAAAACAAAAAGGTCCCTTTTGTAAACTAGCATAAATAGGTGGCTACTTAAATACAGCAACACATTAACCTGCAACCCAATGTGATATCCAAATTACATTTATAGGTCAAGGTGTTTGATGCCATGCAAATCTAGAAAGTGAATCAAGGTAAAAGAGGTTAAAAGCGATGGCAACTTCTCTTTAGCATTATAGTGAATTTACTTGCCAGTAGTGATAATCAAACAAATTAAATGTGCTCCACAAAATGCAAAGCATACCAGCAGTAACTATTACAGCATGCAAGTTAAAGGTTTAAAAAAAAAAAATTGTAAATAATGGGTGACTAGAATGGTGGACTAAAACATAAAGGTTACATTTGTACTGAAACATACCTCTTGCGCTCCATCAGTGTGGCTTAGAACTGAAGCAATCTGCAATAAATGTTGATATGTTAAAACACTTTATTTATATTATTATTATGATATTATTTACTGAAATACTCTTAATTTCCTAGCTTTCCGTAATGTTATCATTCATATACTGTATGTGTCCCCCAAGAAGACGAAGATGACCCTACACCCCTTTTATCAAATATGGGATATTGGGAGAACACACACACACTGTCATGTTCTGAAAATGCAGAGTGTGCCTCAAGAGAGACGAACGCTAAAGAATGTTAGGAATTGTCAATTAGACTAATGCTATTCTATGATGCGGCAGTACGCAATCACAGTCTATGTCCAGCTAGCATTACTAAATGCAGAACAACATACCTTTGCTCCAAGATCTTCCTTTCTGAATCCCAAAAGCTCCAAGTACTTGCCACGTGAGTCATCCTCAAAGTTCACCTAGGAATATACAAAAATGTTGTGTAAGAAATGCTACATCACTAAAAGTTCATCTTTAAGATCATGAAAAATTGTTCATTTAAGAGAAACACCTACAGACAGATATCATGAAATTCCCACAGCTACCCAGTGACGACACCAGATATACGATAAGTGTTAATTATACTATGAAAATATAAAAGGGAGAGCCTCAAAAAGTCAAAGTAGCATTAATAAGAAGCAAAAACAATTAAACAAAATAATTCCTAACGAGACCCTATATCCCACAATATGAATGGATGACAGCACTCCAGCTAAAAATTAAACTTCCTTATTGATATTGATCACAAGGCAAAGTGCAAAAGGAAGAAAAGAGATCATTAGCATGAAACATGTAAGAAGTCTCTTTTCTTCCCGTTGTACTTTGCCTTGTGATCAACATCAATAATCAAGAAGTTTAATTTTCAGCTGGAGTGCTGTCATACATTGATTTTGTTGTATAGATTTCGGTAACGAGCTGGACATGCACCAAGAGACTGTGGGCAAGAGGGGGCAAACCTAGAGGGGTATTTTGTGTAATGGGACCTGTAGTCTCTCTGCAACGCTCTGTCCATAGGTCCTGGTTAGAGAGACAGAATTTAAACAGCCACCTCACGCCATGTATTCACAAGGTTTCTTAGACTTTGGCAGTAATGATTAGATACTAAGGGGGAATTTATCAAACCTGGAGCAGATTTGACCTGCAACCAATCGGCTTCTATATCTCATTTTCAAATCTTACCGGAGGAAACTGCAGGGAAATGCTGATTGGTTGCTATGGACTGCTCCAGATTCAGTCTGCTCCAGTTTTGATAAATTCCCCCCTAAGTATTAAATCAACAGAAGCTGTCTATGCTGCAAAACTGATTTTTTGAGCCTCACTTACAAGCTCAGTAATCACATCCTGGCAGCCCTGTGAAAATGGGTCTGCTCTGCACTGCTCCAGTTCATATATCTTTTCCAAAATGTGCAACTAATATTGAATCCTGGTCTTTTTGTATAAGTGATATACTATGGCCAACATGCTTGATTTAAAGTTGTCTACAAGACAGCATTGATATCATGAATGTCAGAGTGGTTATGTGGGCTTTAACTAGGGATGCATAGAAATTTCGCCAAATTTGGCAAAATGCCGAAAGTGCCATGACGGATGAAAATTAAGTGTATCCCTAGCTTCTCTCCTCCCCGCTGGGCGCCGGTCTGTGTGCCTTCTGATGCAGTGGCCGGCAACCAGCGGGGAGGAGAAGCTTTCAGGAGGACGAGCGGTGCGGGGCGCAGGAGGTGGAGCTCTCCTCCAGCTCCTCCTCCTGTGTCAGAATAGAGAGCTCCCCTCCCCACTGCCCGCTCGGCCTCATGTGACAGCCGATTCAGGATGGAGAGCAGTATACAAACTCTCAGCGATCAGTGAGTGTTTGAAAATAACGGGACATAGTGTGCTTACCATGTCCCAGTTATTAATGAATGGGAAGTGATCTATTAGGGGCCAGCAGTAAAGCATACAAAAAATAAAATACATTTTAAAAAGTATACATTTTTACAAAGGTTGAAAATAACCTAATTTTCGGTTTCAGCCTGACAAATCTTTTATTTTCGGTTTCAAAATTCCATTGCAGTGCATCCCTAAGGTTAACCTTTGAAATCCTTATCATTCAATATAAAGCAGCCTAATAGAGCTGATATGCCACTACAATAGATACGACCAGAGTGTCAATGCGAATATTTATCACACACATGTGTGTGTGACTGTTTTTTGGGTTTTTTTTTAATTCTTGTATTTATTGAACATGTGTGACTGTTTTTATCGCTGCCTGTGTCACTATTAAAAAGATTCACCTTGTCACTTGATTATGAAGAGAAAAAAAAAAAAGATTCACCTTCTCTAGTTGTCCTGACTACCAATGTCACCGGGAATGAAACTGAGGGCAAATCTTAAATATTAAAGTGACATTAAACCCTCAGATTTGTTAACATAAAACAATACTGTAATGTGCGCCTTACTGTAATCCATGGTAGTTTCCCTTCTCTTTGCTCCTCTTCCTTTTAAATATGTATCTGTTCTCATGCTTGGAGAGAACTTCCCTTTTCAGCAGACTGCCTTGTCTCACACGGTGTCTGTGTATAGGCTGTAACCTGAGCCAGCACTACAGGAAGAGGCCCTGAGCTGAAAAGGGAAGTTCTCTCCAAGCATGAGAACAGATACATATTTAAAAGGAAGAGCAGGTAAGAGAAGGGAAACAACCATGGATTACAGTAAGGCACACATTACACTATTGTTTTATGTTAAAAAATCTGAGGGTTTAATGTCACTTTAAGTTGCCACCAGAACAGGATGCAAGGGGGAATCTTCCAATGGGGACAACTTGCTCCAGTGACAGCTGGCCAAAAGGGGATTTCCCTCAGATTGAAAAGATATTTTCTAACTTTCAATTGAGTCTACAGGACAGGAAGTGACTGCAGTCTTCTTGTGTGATTCATGCATTCTGCATTGAATATAATACAATTATAGTCAAAATTATTGATACAAATCAGGAGAGGATAAAATTGAGGGAAAACACAATAGAGGGCAGCAAACATAACTACCTTTAAGAAGGACCACACATTTTTTTCAAAGTCATTTTTGGCTTCATCAATCTTCTTCTGGCAGTACTCCAGAAAAGTGCCAGTGCTGACCACATCCTGTAACTTGTTAGAGCGGCTCAGGAACTCCTGTTCTGAAACCACTTGACTGACATACACATGAAAGTGCTGGGCTTGTGGTTGTTGTTGTGTTGCCTGACTTTTCTCTGCCTCAAATGTGACCAGTTTGCCTCCAAACTGTGGGTAAAAAGGAAGAAAAAACAAAAACAGATCTTGATATGTCTGTGAAGGTTCCCATTTATCCAGGTCATGGTATAACAAGCAGCTGTCACATTTAACTACATTTGTTTTCCATCACTCCAGTAAGACACAAAACATCTTCAACTACTTCAACAATGTCTACTACTAGCAACCATAGGACATATGCACAGGGTTGGAGGCATGCAACCTCCACTGCATCGAAAGAACTAATGCGTCTCTAAAGATTAGGATCGAAAGACACTTAAGATGTATTCTTCTGAAACCTTTGTAAAAAAAGTAAATTTATTGTGCCCAAAGATTCAACTATGGTTCAGGTCTGAAAAGCACAAATCTGAACAATGCAAAAATCTCAAGAACTGCACTGTGATTTCACAAAAGACTTTCCTATGTTTTTGCCTTTATTGCATGGTGTCAAAAACTAGATAAAGAAAACTGTTGCATTTTCATTATGATGACGTGAAAATAAAAAAAAAACACTGATTACTAGCTGCACAGATAAATAAAGTTGCATGGAACAACTGTTATATCTAGAACTCTACGAATACAGATAGCTAATGGCGGAGGGCCATTAGACTCCTGTTTGGGAAAAGGAAACTTATTGTTCAAAAGTGTCTCTCCTAATCCCCTTACATTCTTATTATGGAAAATAAATGTTAATTCTATCCTAGCTTAAGAAAAGATTACCTTTCAGAGAAGAGGATGTCCACACAAATTTTACAAGCCATGGAAGGTCTGGGTAAGATTCACCAAATTTGCCCCCCCCCCCTCCAATTATGCAACAATTGCTATAGCAGAGTTTTAGGTGTCGTCTTTTTTTTTTTTTTTTTTTTTTTAAAATTTTACTACCAGTTTTCCTTTCTTTGGCGTT